CAAAAATAGCAAAGCCCATTCCTCGAGATGTTATTAACCCGTGAACCAGTCATTAGCAAAACCCCCGCCAAGCACGTTATCTGATGGGGGGGGCGGCTTTCTGCCTGCCTTGGGTTGCAGAGCGACTTGACGCTGGGCGAGTCGAGGCGGAATTTGGGACGAGAGGTTGGCGAAGGGCAGGGAGAGCCACGGTCGCGGGGCTCGAGGCAAGGAACTGTTTGCAGTCCCCGCTCCCTTCTGCCACTTTTAGCCGAGGGCGTTTTTCCGATACGGTTTCAAACTTGCACAATCTCGGAGGGGGCTTGAAGATCTCGGAGGCACGGGAACGACCGGCTCGGGCTGAAAGGTCGCTCCCACGATTGGTACGTTATGGGCAGCTCCGCAGGGGACAGCGCGACCGAGTTTCCCCATCTCCCAGCCCCGGTTATTATTACAAAAGCATCGGATCCATCTGGGCGCCGCACGCGAGAAGGGAAACCGTTCATAGACGAGGCAGCATCCGCGGGGGAAAAAAAGCCACGTGGGGCTGGGAACGAGGACGGGGCAAAGAGCCGAGTGCTTGGACTGGGGCCACGGTGTTCACGGTCTTTGCCGGCACGGTCTGTCCCGAGGATCGGGGCTTCGGAAGGGATTATTGCAGGTGTCTACACCAAGCAAATCTCAGATCCTGCAAGTGAATCGATCCAAAATGAGGAAGCATCCGCGGAGTGGATTGGAAAGAAAAGGATGTTTCTGTGTTGGGGCAAGACTGCAAAGGGAAATCTCCTCGGGATTTCCCACCCACCTTTAGGAAATCCAGCCCCTCAAACAGATTTGAAACAGCGGCGGCAGCATTTCTCAGTCTGGTAGGAGCTGAAAAGCGAGAGCGTTTTCCAAAGCATCACTTCCACGGGGGAACCAACGCTGGCAAGGTTTGCGCTCCCTGGTACGATCCCCCGAGGCAGCCAGATTTCCCTATACAGGCTCTATGCAACAAAACATCCAGTTTCCCTGTACGTCCCGGGGCTGCCGGCCGCACTGAAGCTCGGCAGAGCACGTGGGCTGCACGTTGCTGTGAGTCCATTGCCAAACTGCCAGCGACGTCGATAGAAACGGGCCGCGGCTCTGGCCGGCAGCAGGTCCCGGGTTTGGTGTTTAATAGAATCATCGAATGGTTTGGGTTGGAAGGGACCTCTAAAGGTCA